CATACATACATACATACATACATTACACACATACATACTTGCATACGTGACTATGTACATGCATGCATACGTTCATACAAACATGAGTATGTACATGCCTTCATGCATTTGATTGTAAGTTGAAAAGACTGTTTTGAGTTGACATTTTATTTGAGAAGACATAAGTTAGGATCAAAAGAACGAAGCAAAAAGTGACCAAGAGAATAGACGATAAATAAAATAAACTAAAGCGCCTCGTTCCTTTACATTGTCCTTGGAACCGCACTGAGTTATATTATTATGATTATGACTCGATCAATCTAGGCCACCTAGTCTATTATAGTCTCCAGTTGCTCTCTGTCATCCGTAAGTTGTCAAGCCTGGTCTATTCGTTTTCCAAATCTCTTTCTCCCAGTCTTCTTGTCCCCCCTTCATGTCTAAGTTTTCACGAAACAGCTCTGCACTTAAAAAATAGAACTGGCGAATAAAGGTTTTGGGTGTGTCATTTGCCAGAATAAAGCTTGCTGCTTGGAATTTCCAACTGTCGTATCACTGAGACTAGCCGCTTTCATAACTGGCCTGTTATAGTTGATGCAATGTCGCTCGTGAGTTGTATTCCTCTGAAGTTGGCCTAATGCAAAGTCGTGTTGACGAAGCCGATGACGTCATTGGAGAGAGAGAGAGAGAGAGAGAGAGAGAGAGAGAGAGAGAGAGAGAGAGAGGAGGGGGGTGGTGGTGGTGATTGTGAAGGTATTCAGGAATGTGATTATAATAATCAGCACATCGTCTTTATTTGAGTTTCCGACCGTAATGCCATTTAACTAAACGTTTCGTCTCCCCTACCATGTTCTGGCGTGAATTTACGGCTGTTAGGCCTGTTTTAATTGTTTGAGGAAGGGTTTTTAATACCGTTCAAGGGAGATGTTGGCAAACAGCTCAGATCAAGTTGTGTTTGACCTCTTATTTTGAAATATTTAAAAGTCTTTCCCTTACCTTCTGATCTCACTAATTACGCACAGTTATTAGGCCTATGTCGACGACATATATTTGAAGAACGCCAACTTTGTCTCCATTTAGTGATTTGAAAGGCCTACGTGGCAGTTTAAGAGGCAGCCTATTATGCAGTTCTCCGAGTAATTATTGTTCAAGTGGTTGCTCTGTGTGCATTGTTGAAAAACTCAAATTATCCGATATCTAATTGTAACAATCTCCATAAAACATAGTCTATAGAGCTATTTTAATAACTGTCAGTCTGCCAAGGTGACAATATTCTCAGAGAAAGTACATGTTGTGAGGGGGCTATTTCTTTTAAAATCTCTGCTGTTCCAGGTAGCGTGCCATTTTCAGTGATTTCATGACACTCAATCCGAAATCACATGCGTGAGAGAAAAATCACGTTGATTGGTGCCTGTAAAGTCTAAAGGATATTATTAAAAGTTGAACGAGACTAAGGACAGAGGAAATCACTGTACCTGGTACGAAATTCATTTTTCCAGAAACGATAACAAATCAATAAAACTTTTAGTTAACAGTTGTCCTTTCTTTTTTTTTATTAAAAAAAAAATGAAACTATAATGTAGAGTTACTGGCTGTAGAACATTATATATCTTAAAACATTAACAATTTTATAAGCTCTACAGCATTTATATTTCCTCACAAATGCTTGAATACTTCCTCTCATAGGAAGAGGTTTTTCAAAGTGAGTGATGTTTTGAACCAAATTAGATGACAATCATGTTCATGAAGTTACGGCGAAACAGTTCAAACGTTTGTTACATATGCTGTTGGTGTAAGTCTCAGACTGCGTGACTCCATTGCTTACAAGAATGCAGATTCGTAGTTTGGGACTTGCACCGACGAGGTACTAAACGCCACTTCCATGTCGAACACCCTGTTTCTAGGATGTCGAGTTCTGTTATCAGTTATCACTTACTTAACGACGCTAAAGGACACAGACCCTCCTGCTTGCTCGTGCGCGCGCGCACACACGCACGCACGCACACACACACATACACACACATACATACATATACACACATACACACACATACACACACATACACACACATACACACACATGCACACACATGCACACACAT